ACCACGCCCTATCCGCAAGACACGACGCGCCGAACCGTCGGATCGTCCCCAACCCGCATAACCCCCGCGACGCGCTTTGCACGAGCAATGACGAACAGAGGCGCCCTTCGGACTGGAGTCGCACCGATAGCCGCTATTAAAACACTCTGCGAAAGAAGATGAATCGGACAAGAATGCGCATGGCCACGTTCTCTGTCGCCTCAATATCCGGGGGCACTGTGTTGAAATGATGGAGGCCCTTCGACTTGTCTCTTCGGAACAGAGTTATGCATGTGTACCAGTGGACCCTCGGTGTTCTCAGTATACGATGCATCCGATTAGGCTTTTCGGCGTACCGGCGGCGTAGGTGCGGTTGAGTTGACCTGTGGTGTTGGAGCACAAACAATCCGACCGTACGCCTCTCGAGGTAGACACAACCTGCGAATCTGGGTAGGCAATACCAGTACAATCACATGCTAATGTGAGCTGGAAAATGTGCCAGGTGAAGCTGCGGACTTTGTCCTTTGCATATGTGACTGTGTCCTGTAAGGCACCCGACGGAGTGTATTGGGCATATCCAGTCAGTGGTGGGGTACTTGGAGCTACTTCGCTCTGCGGCGCAGGTTTCATGTATCTGAACTGCAGATGGAATAAGGTGGTCTTTTGGTAAGTCGCACCTTGTGCGCTTCAAGTCAAGTCGTACCAACACTATCATTACAATTGTTTCCGGCCTACGTTGCCATTTCCTTTCACCATCATCGCGGTCTTGAAGACAACGATCGACTATCAGTCTCAAAGGGCCCCAGGCTTGGATCCCCTCCAGTGTCCATATGCACCCACGGAGGTTCGTCTTGCCATTTCCTCTTGTATCCTGTCTCTATCCGGTGCTTGATTTCTTGAAATTTCTCGTACTGCTCGCGACTTTCGAAGCGTTCCGGGTAATTCCAATCTACTAGGCACCTATTGATGTCTATCAGAGCTGCATCAGCCTTTTTCATCTTCTCATTCAATAGCCTCCGTTGAAACACTGTGTTGTTTCTCTTTTCCCATATTTGAATGTCAAGCGCATATCGTTGCCTGATAAGGTCTCTAAGGGCTCGGATTTCTTCAGGAGTGACGCGTGGCTTTGGCGGTGCGGGTTTCGAGGGCCTTATTGTGGTCGGACGCTGTAACGCGGGTTTTGCTAGTGGCAACGGGGAAGATGCACCCTTTTCAATGGTCGGAGGTGCTGGTACATTGACTCGTGGTCTGGGTGCATTGACTGGCTCCCGTTTCGGTTTCACGACGGCTCTGAAGCTATCTCGTAACCCCATCTCCGAAGCCTTTGCTGTACTTGTCAAAAAATCTTTCGGCCAATCAAGAGGCATAGCCAATACGTACCACTTCCGTTGAAACAGCCCAAGCGCCTTCCTGATCTCTGATCTGATCACGTCCAACAAGTGGCTCTAGTCAAAATCAATGCTTCAAGCTTGAAAAGCTACGGTGTGAAGTGACGAGGACCAGTAAAGGATAAGGGTGAGAGTGCCCACAGGAGCCCCACATCATGCTCATGATCTCAGCCTTGTTCACCAGAATTAGCCACCACTCATTTGGAATCGCATGTGCAAAATCTCATGAGCGCCACCTGGGCCTCTGACTAGGTGGCAGCCTGTATGTAGGCTTATATGCACTGGTTGATGCATGCGCTCACCGGAGAAGCAACGTATACACTAGCGCATATGCAAGGCTGAGTTTCAATATTCTCGTCCTATCGACCCCGCTTCGTGGCTTCTGCCAACGCACCTGTTATCATGCTGGATACGATACGGTAAGTCCTTTCCAGCCGGTGATCGGCTCGCCGCCGTGAAGCTGCTCGCCTTGAGAGCTGCCGTACCGCTTTAGTTCCGGACTGACAACCAGTGTCAGTGCCTGGGCTTCTTTGCGGGGCAGATTGAGAATATTGCCCTCAGCTATAGGCAGCTGCATGATGAGTCTGTATCTCTGAGAACAGCATTCCAGCCAAGTCCTCCCACTGAGGTTCACAAGAGCATCAAGTAACTTCAGGTCTCTCTCGTTCAGCGATGCAACCCTTTCGATAGCCTGTGAGATGATCGTAACCAATGTTGAGATTGTTTCGCTGTATGCAGTACGTAGCTCTTGGTGTTCCGTCGATCCTTGACCAGGTGCTTCAATGGCCGTAAGCAGTGAACGAGCAGTCTCGTACCGCTGTTTTTCAGTTTCTGAAGATATCGTGGGCCACTCTAGTGAGGACACATCTGCAATAATTAGTCTCACATCATCTGAGCGACTATACCAGACTTACCCAAATCGTAGATACTGGTCCAGTCATTGTTCATCCTCACGCCTTCCTTCCCAAATACCTTGAATGGTAGACTGAAAATATGCTCATACAGAAGTACCCACATGGAGTGCTGAACTATCTGCTGCTTCAGTCTTCTTGTATTTTTCGGATGAAGCCGCATAAGCTGTGCCTCTGAGAGGGGCCAGTTGGCTTCGCATCGAGTGTTCCACTCCATGCTTGCAAAGTTTTCGATCTCAGTGGAGATTCGTTTGTATCGCGCAGTAAGCTCACGATCTTTCAAGCCCTTGAAATGGTCTCTCACAACAAGCGCCACTTTCAGCTCTTCGCGCTGAGATCGCAATCGTGCCATTTCCTCATCGTGCTTCTTATCAAGCTCCACCTTCTCACTCTGAGATCTTTCCTGCAGTTGCTGTAATTCTTGTGTATGCGCCTTGGTGAGACTGCTCTTTTGCATATGCAATTCCCTCCGGAGTTTTTTAACATCCTCGTCATGCATGAGTAGATCATGCTCATGCTCTGCTTTGAGCGTGGCCTTCTGCACGCTCAGTTGCTCTTCCGCAGATTTCTTTGCGCGTGTAATTCCATCTGTCAGAAGATCGATCTGTTGTTTCAAGTCCGTAATCGTGGCATTCTTCTCGTTTCGTAAACGGAGATAGCGTTGGTCGTGTTCTCGCTGCGTTAGTGTTGTATGTTGATAGAGATCTTGTTTCTCTTTCTGCAGGTTCTGTATCTGTTGGCTATACGACATCATTAGCCCCTCATGATCGTCCAAGAGGGTTTTACGTTCAGATAGCCACTGTGCTTTGTCTTTAGACAGCTGCGTCCTCAACTGTCGTTCCAATTGTGCTGATCGTCCCTTCTGCTGAGTAGACTCTCTGTCATATCTACCTTTTTGCTTTTCCGCATCTTGTAATCTTCCTTTTGTCTCTCTTAACTCCATCTGTGTATCCCTGAGTTCCTTTTCGACATTATGGTATACTTTCAGTTGATCTTTTGCTTGCTGTAGATTGTCCGAGTTCGAACTGTACCTCTGCAGCAATACGCGATACGCCCGGAGTATCTGGTCCACATAGTTCATGGTGGTCGTATCAGCAGGCATTTCTGTCAGGAAGTCATATGCCTGCATCAAGATCAACGCTCTGATTTGTTGCAACTGCTCTGACGTGTCGGAAATGCTGAATGTAGGTCTTGTTGTCGGCTCGACAGGCTGATGATGTATCAGCAGGGGTGGGTCGTGTGAGGAAATGGCAGAATTCGTTTCCTGGCTATCGCCCCCATCATCCAAAAACCTCGTTGACTGATCGAGATCGGCAACGAGCGAGATGATTGACACTTCGGATGAGGTATCGGGCAAATGTGTTGGTGAAACAGTGGTACTTAGCTCGGGAGCTTCCAAGTCAGCAGTGGGTTCATTGCTATTGCTAGTGGGTAACGCCTCCGCTAATGAAGACTCCGGCTGCGGCGTACTCGGAGTGTCAAGAGCAGTCGTCAATTCGGTGCTCTCATTTTGCTTTTCCAGAGACTCGATTTTCTCAGTCTTTGTCTTCCTTTCGGAGGTCATCTTAGTTTTGAGTTTGTGAAATTTACTCTCTTTCCATGATGCCTTGATAGCTTCGCGCTTTCCACCGTTACGTTTTTCCAGATGAGAGCTGAACGATCCACGCCGTATCGGCTCATTGACGGATGCAAGGTTGCTGAGAACAGATTTTGGCGACGTTTGGACGTTCTCAGACTTTTGCACGGGCTTCCTCCGTGATACTAACATCTTGCCGCCTTTGGTCGAGGACATGACCGACATCTCTTCATGAGCTCGTTGGGCAACTACATAGTACCCAAATTACTGTTTTGTCATTTTCAACTAATTGTCTCAGTGCTTACCAATCTCAAGGAAGTATCAGCTTCTTCTGAATCCGGTACGATGCCGAGGTATAACTAATTTGTCGAAATCAACCTGACGACCCATGCATACAACCCGTGATGAACTCGCAGATGCAGTGTTGAAGGTTTCGAAAGCTAGCGCTCACTAGTGGTGGTTGGTATCACCGGTACATGCGATTTGCAAGTAATTATGAGCAGAGTTGTTGACCCTCGGGTTGAGACGTTGCGACCCCCGCATCAAGTGTGGGAAAAGGTGTCTCAGCCGTCATTCGCATTCTGCGCATGCCTATAGAGACTCCTAATGCCACGCATATCGCTTCTGCCTAGGAAAGCGTCTTGTCATACCGCATCTAACAGACCAGCCCCAACCAATCTCGAAAGATCAAACCCTAGTCTGAGTCCAGAACCGCACTCTATTCTCGCAGGCGCAGTAAGGTGGCGGTAAGCGTGCGAAGCTGTTGGTCCCACGCCTTGCCTCGCTTATGAGCTTCATGCATACGAACACGAGACCTCTTCAGCTCACTCGTCAATTACTTCCAAATCCGGCGCATACTTGAAATCGCTGTCACACCACATGAGCACGGACGCACACGGCTGTGTGCTATGGGTGTGGCAAATTCTGAACGACGTGCCAACCGTTGACTACCCAGTTATGATGCGTGCTTTCGGCTGACATCGTCTTCGCCTTACCGTTTACTCTATGCTCTAGTATGTCTAGAGTTCTACTTCACCATCCAAGACAGGAACCACTATCCAATGGGAAAGTGAGGATCAGATCCAGATCTTCGAAGTCTCAACGAAGCCACGACCGCCTGAGAATACCATTGCATAACCTTTCCCAATGAACAAAATTTACCACTTCGAGAATGTATCTGCACTGGAGCAGACCGAGGAGGCAGAACTGGAAGCACCCATCAGTACAGGGTCTGGGAAAGGTCATGGGCCGATTGATGCCACTGTTCCAGCAGGCGAGGAGAAGATTTTACAGGAACCTCAGGAACTACGACTGGTTTTGGGAATAGACTATGGCACGACATTCAGTGGTGAGTGAACATTGTTTCGTCTCGTACGACGTGCTAGTCCTAAAATAAGGGATGCATATAGGCATTGCGTGGGCTACACCTTCAGGTGCAGAATGCTCTCTCGAGGAAATCGATGTAATTGAGCAATGGGGTCCGCAGATGGACAACGAGGAGAAGGTTCCAAGCGTGATCTCTTACTCGCGTTCAAGTCAGGCCGGGGAGCAGCAATGGGGTAAGAGTCTGAGCGCAGATGCAGTGACAATGATTCACACTAAGTTGGAGCTTGGCGTGGAAGATCTATTAGGGGAACTTGACATGACTTTACAGGTTCTGGACGGCATGAAGAATCTGAACTTTGACGAGATGATGTTGAGCAAAGGCCAGAACGACCTACCGCCGTATTCTCACAAGAGCCCGGAGGAGATTGTGACAGACTACCTCGAGAAATTGTTTGCTTACGTGCAAATGGAAGTGCGAGTAGACGAGAATAACGTGTTCGCCAAACACACAACGACGGATATTGTTGTCACAATACCCACAGTATGTCCACAGATCTCTCGGCGTGAAAATCTATTGACGAAGCTTTAGAAGTGGTCTTATATGGCTATGAACTCCACATACAGAGCTCTCACGAAAGCTGGGTTTAATAAGGACAACTTTCCAAAGCTGAGGCCAATCATGTTTGTGACAGAGCCCGAGGCAGCTGCGCTTTACACTGCGCGGTGGTATCGTGACGAAAAAGAAGAAGAATTCCTCCAAGTAAGCGTCAATTCCGATTGGAGTTATCCGTAACTAACGGCGTCAAAAGTCTAAGGACTACTTCATTCTCTGCGACGCAGGTGGCGGTACTGTTGTAAGCCTTCTATGACACTTTTGTACCTGGCGCTGTTTCAATGGTCGGTTAATCTTGGATGTAGGATGTTGTTTCATATCGAGTTACGCAACGATCGCCAACTCTCGAATTGGAGCAGATTGGCAAGCCCACAGGTTTGTAAGACTGAGTCTGAGACCATGCAGAGCCTAATTACTATACCAGGCAGTCGCTGCGGATCCATTTTCATCAACCTTGAGTTCAAAAAGTGGCTGAGAATGCTGCTTGGAGAGGAGGAATATCTAAAGCTCGACCCAAATCTGGACATCGACAAAAACGCAAATCACGCCTCCGAAACTCCCGCCATGAGAGAACTCATGCAAGCGTTTGACGATGTCAAGAAGCAGTTTGCATTCTCAACACCTGATGTTCGATTCAGCCTACGAGGGGAGTTGGAGAACCTTGACATTTTTGGTAAAGTAAACAAGGGCCTAATTACCATTCCACAGTATGTTTAATGCCTCCTGATATCATCACTGCTTATTATGATTTGTAGATCGACAATGCGAGGCTTTTTCGACTCCTGCATCAAACAGATAGTTGAGCTCATCTGGGAACATGTTGATCGCATCGAAGAAAGAGGCAGTCGTCCAAAGGTATCTGCCTAGCGATCCACCAGCGACTGATCCTCAATACTGACTCTTCGTTTAGCACTTGTTTCTTGTGGGTGGTTTTGGGGCGTCTGAGTACCTAAAACATCGCCTCAAGGAGACGATCACCGAGGAAGAGATGCAGATGAGCTACCGACAGCCGAAGGAGTCCTGGACAGCAGTGGTTCGAGGAGCAGTGGTGTGTGGTATCGAGAAAGATGCGATACCGAACTTGAGAAGGACCGATGTTTGCCGACACAACTACGCGGTTTGCTTCGACCAACTCTACTCAAATACGTTCCACGTAGAAAAGGATATGACCCAGATCCATGGAGCCACGTACGCGCAATCTCAACTCACATGGCTACTCAATAAGGGTGACCTAGTCCTGTCGGATCAGCCGCGTAAAGAGGAGGTGTCATTTCAGCTTACACTTAGGGATCTGAGTGCTGGCAAGACGCAGTTGGAGATCTTCAGAAACTCCGATGATGAAGATCAGCGGCCTCGACGTTACCAGAATGCCAAGGAAGGTCGGTCGATCCGCTTAGACCTCCATGTCATTGGTCACTAACTTCTTCTCAGATTTGGACATCGCATGTGTGTTGGATATCCGCTATGATAAAGTCAGCTTCACAGTGGAAGAATGGCAGCAACAGCCCGTACGTTATAATGCTACGCTGAAGTTGGTCTTGGAGTTAATCGGCGGCTCTTTGGAGGCTTCTATCTGGTGGAAGCACCACAAACTATCGCGTGGCGCGGTAGTCTATCCATAACTGGATGCATGATAAACCATGATCATGCTGTTTGAATGAATTCATGTGACTGTTTTGCGCTTTGTTCTTCGGCTACCTATGTACCCACAGCCTGACTTATCGCAGCGAAAGATCAACCAAGTATTATCCACTAGGTGAATGCGCCATACAATGGTATCCTGTACCGGTAATCAGAAGCGAGAAAGAGACCGCAGTATGCTGCGGACGAGGCTGAGTCAAAATAGGCAACAAGGCAATATTGTGGCGGCTCCCGAATGCTTCCCGATGCACACCATGCGTTGGCGCTAAAAAAGAACCAGCCGCAGCTCTGATGGGATTATCAGGAAACAACCTCGGGTTTTACTCTTCATATATATTGATGTGTAGCCTTCTATACACCGTGATTGAAACTCTCCCTCTCGATACTAAGCCTTCCAAGGTTGCCACAATGGTTGACATCGATGTGTCTACTACGTTCATACTGCAGACTGAGTCGCTCGGCTGGTCTAGTGCACTTGCTTCTACCCCGGAAAATGCTTCGGTGATATTGGAGCCTGTCACCGGGCATGACAGTCAGCAGTGGTTTGCAACAAAGACCAGCTCTCAAGGATACTATTGGCTGCATACAGTGGGGAAGGGGGACGACTTCGCGCTAGGCGTCACCAATTATCAGATCATCGACCTACAATTTTTCGCAACCCAAGAAACAACTGGGCAGTTTTGGCGGCTGGATTCACAAGAAGACGGCAGCCTCAGAATAAGCAACATGTTCACCCCGTCCGGCGTATACATCAGCATCGAAAACGAGACCCAGCGGCCTATATTATCAACGGAGAACTCCGAGGGATCGCGCTGGACTTCGAGTACATATGGCTTGCAGTCAACATCCGTAACAGCAGCCTCCCTTGCTTCGACGCAAAGCGCTCCTCCAACATCGCCTGCATCTTCCGAGACCCCGAGTTTGACTGGCGAGCCCTCAAGTACTGCCGTACCTACAGATGATAACAGCGGCGACCCTTCTGGCACTCGTAGGCTCTCGACCGGTGGCATAGCGGGCGTTTGTGTGGCGGCTGCTATTGTAGCAGTGGCTCTCGGTTATCTTATATATCGGAAAGTGCACACGCGCAAAGGTGGTAGACTACCTCCACAGGCTGATGAAGCAAACTTCAGCCAGTCTGAAACAGAACAGACTGCCCCAGCGGCGTCGCAGTCCTTGGGGGTAACAAATGTTCTTCATGGATAACAAGAAGGTTGATGCGTACGATATCGGTGCTATTATTTGAAGTTCGTTACGACCCCTTAGACCTATACTATATGTCACCTTGCCGTTCTACATTGTTGTGTCTAGACTGGAGGTTTCTGAGTTATGCTTGCCTGCGCTTTGTAAGACCAGTTGGAAATTATACCAATACAACATGCGCCTATATCAGGCGCAGGTAGGTATGCACTGTTTGCCGTGTTTTGCAGGGTATTTTCTATAAGTCGAGCTTTGGCGTTTCCTGGCCCCCTAGTGCATGGAACGTGTGTTCCAGGGCCGCTTTCCGCACCACCGGAAGGACGGAGGCGTCCTCCAAGGCTTACTCGCAGGCCAGCACACGATGGTCGACCAATCAGATGTGACCACGACAACCTTGGAAGTCATGCTTTCTTTTGTCTAAGAGTAAGGCTTTGAGGATGTCGCGAGGTTAGGAGCCAACGGCGACGATGCTCCCAATTTGTATGGCGAGCCTTTCCGAGATCTGCTTCATTCTAGGATTACCATGTTATGAGAGCTTACAAAAGTGCCTAAGTAGGGAACGCGTTTACGAGGCATCACGGTGCGAAGTCGCCACTCGCACCAGGCAACGGGGCTTCCGGAAAGCTATCATGACGTTGCGAATATAGGAGACAGACCGATTACGAAGGCTCGCGTGGGGTAGGCCGAATTAGGAGTGCGGTAAGCCACCATAAGGTTACGTGACGCACAAGGCTCCAGCTTACCTGGGTATATTTTTGTCTCCGCAGACCCACTGTATCGCACTCAGTCTTGTGAAGTTCCGCCTCCAATAAATCGGAATTTGTCGCAGACGTTTGGAAATCTGCTCAAACGGTATACGTGACCAGGGTACGAACGATCCTGGGGGCGTACGACAGGCTCCTAGAAGCGAATTATCAAGCTAAGCAGAGTAAACGTCGAGTCAAACTTTCGTGGAACCTCAAGCACTTGCGCCAAGCTTAAAGTAAAGGAGGCTTTACCGACGCACTTCCACCTGGCACGACGACAGGTGTATCATCAGCCAAGCAATCAGTCATGAATGTACTTCGGCAGGCTCGATTGAAAGACAAAAACGACTTACGAGTGTCACCTACACATCAGTCGGGTGAGCCAAGACAGTTGGGCCGTAGCATTAGCCTTGCCACCCCTGCCTCGGCCAAAGTCGAAACAGTTGCTACTTCACGAAAGAATCGCGTATCATCCGGCGGAACATCCAAGGAACATCCAAGGAAGTTGATCCCAAAAAACCAACAAAAGCCGTCTTGCAGCGCGACAAAGGTCCGTTGGAGCCGCACGACGAGGTTGTGAGTTCATCTAATGGTACATCATGAGAATTGAGACTGACAAAGTACTGACAGTTCTCATCCAACCCGCAGGATGTACCTCGATTTGAGGAACTCTTGCTTAGAGCTGGAGAGGAATTCCCAATGCTACAGTCACTGTTGGATGGACCAACAGAAGAAGAGGCTGCCAAGGCTTTGCATCGATATCGTGAGCTTTGTCACTCACTTGATGCGGCTCACCGGTCATTGGACAATTATCGAGCAGACGCGGGGCTCTTAGATAGTTTGAAGATCGAGGTTCATACGTTGAAAAGTACACTGCGAGCTAGTCGGACCGAGGTGGAGAGCCTGAGGACGGAGGTTAACAGCAAGCACCAACAGATGCTGAAAGCTCAAGACATGCTGGGCGAGCAAGTTGTAATCCACGAACAAGAAAAGCGCTATCTCGAGGCCCGAATACACGATGGTTCACAGCAACAGGATAAAGAGAACAAGTCAACCAAGGCATCTTCCGAAGGACAATTAGGTGCGGCTCGTCAAGAGGAGGAGCAAAAGCGGTATGAGCAAAAGATTAGCGCTCTTAAAGACCAGATGAGCGAAGAACACTGGAAGTGGGACGCGCACTTGCGAGAAGTGAAAGACACCTACGAAACTCGCATAAAAGATCTAGAGGTTAGCTTTGCCGAGCGGATGAAGAACGAATACGAGCAACATTGCGAACAAACGCGGCAAGAGATGGGGAAACATCAAGTGACAGTGAATGAGTATCAGTCAAATGTCGCTCGATTGAAGCTCAATGCGGAACAAGAAGGACGGCTGTTGCACGAAGATTTACAAACTCAGCGAGAGAAACTTCGAGAAGAACAAAAGCGACATGAGAAGAACCTCAAACGACAGGAAGCCGGACTGACCAAGAAGCACACGCAAGAGATCTTGCAGCTTCAGACCACCCTGGTGGAGCAGAGACAAGAACTTTCTCATCTCAGACATGTCAAGGCCAACGCTGACGAAGAAAGACTGCGCATGCGCGATGAAGTACGGGCGAAAACCACTCAGTTCAGCGAGGAACAACAACGACTTCGAGAATTGCTCGAGAAACAAAACGCTGAGCTGGTAGAGAAACATGCCCTCGAAATTACGCAGCTTCGATTAGCAAACGAGGAGTTAAAGCAGGCATTCATCGACAAGGCCTACCCACAGCGCACGAAAGCTCGAAGTGTTAAGGTGATGCGATACCGTGACATCTCTACTCAATTCTTTTCAGTAGTGAGTCAGGTACAAGACTTCACGAATCTAGAATGGGACATGCGCCGTGAAGTGGAATGGCCATTCTCCAACGACCAACTGTTACGCATCCACAAAGTCAATACAAGGGTGTTAAAGAAGGCTATCCTGCAGAATACTATGTGGACTCTACTATACACGCACGTGTTTTGTACTCCGTTTGCTATCTTGGGGTTGGAAGGAAAGAGTTATGACGATGTATGGTTACCAATTCATACCAAAGGTAGGCCCTCGTTCGTCCGAATCAAGATACTTGACTAATGCATAAACCTAGATGTTACACAGTGGCCTAGTATACCTGCGGCAACTGAAGCCCGTCGCTACGAGGCGGCCAGGGCGGTTCTCGATCTAATGAACCCATCAAGTGAAACCACACCTGATGAGAAAAAGCTGAAAGCCAGCTATGAAGCTACCGTCACCTCGCTTCTGAGTGCAATACACCAGGTACTATCTAAGATAGCTGTTCTCGAACCGAAGGACGCCGAGGCGTTAGAGACTCTTATACGCCTTTGCGCAAAGACATGGATGGAACTCTGCTCGCAACCATACAGAGTAATGATGATCCTACCACCAGGAAGCGGCGACCTGCTGTCGTCGCCACATCCCGATGAAAGGCCGCTCAAACTGGTCGTGAGCCCGGAACTAAAGAGGTATGGAAACATGCAGGGCGAAGACTTGATGAAGGGTGAGGTTTTCACGAGGTGTCAGGCTGTTGTGCAGCAGTACCCGGTCGAGCCAACAGGTTCTTGATATAGAATTCGCGGACTGGGTCAACAAGCACGTCGTGGTCATGCCTTTGCGGTGCACACGAGTTCTCCAGCTTGAGCACAATACACCTTTGATAGCACCTATGCATTTGACATCTATATCGGTAGATCGCCAGCACCACATCTAGCCATGGCGTGATACTGTTCATGTCTACACTTCGTCTCAAATTCCCCACCATGGTATAAAAAGAAGGATCATACAAGCTACGAAGCAAAAGAAGAAAAGCGCGGGCCCAGATCGTCCACCGATACAGCCGACCTCGCGTCCATGTCAAATAGAATACATAATCCGGTGGAAACCCCACCGTGAACAGTAAGACAGCAGAACCTGTTGAAAGCGCAAATTATACCGTAGTCCCGCTAACCCAATGCTAGAAAAACGTGAAGAACGTGCAAAGAAAACATTGTACACAAATCGTGAATGGAATGAACGCAATTACAGCTGGTATGCTGGTCTCATCCCAAGGTCTTCTAATCAATGGTGATGACGTCGTTTTTGGACTGCCCCGGACGACCTCCTGGACCGCCTCTACCTTGCTGTTGTTGCTGGCGGCCGTTTGGCATCTGCTGCTGTGAGGGTCTGCCGTTCGGAGGTTGGCTTCTCGGATGTTGCTGCATGTTCGGGTGCTGCTTCCCAGCCTGGGCCTGAGCCTGTCTTTGCTGCTGCTGGCGCGCTTGCTGCTGCTGTTGTTGCATCCTAGCCTGCTGCTGCTGGTTTCCCTGCTGGTTCCCGTTCGCCTGTGCAGGCGTCTGGCCTGGACCAGATCCCTGATTCTGCGCTTGTTGCGGGGGCTTTTCAAGTGGTGGAGGTGCGACATAACCTCCTGCCATTTTACAACTCAAGACACACTCATCCAGCTTGAGTAGTGCTTCAGGGATCGCGTCCAAGTGCGCCACCATGCCGGTCCGGGTACCAAACCATCCTGGGCCCTTCCCACTGAAGAGTTCCTTCAGCTTGGCCTGTAAGTTGTCGAGACGCCTATGACCAGGTGCACGCTCGGGAGTTGGTAGATTTGTGGCTTGATTTGGAGGATCCTTTGGACGCAAGTTGTCTTCGATGAACCAGTACACCTGGTCATCTTTGGGCTGAAGGCGCACGTCGAAAGTGCAGACCGGATTGTCATATGTGAGTCGGTATTTGAGGACGGAGTGAACATGAATTGCGGGGTTACTGTAGTTGCCTGGCGATCGTTCCTCGACTTCGCGCAAGGCCTTGAAGAGGGGCCGGGTCGCGACGAGAGTCGTACAGAAGCGATCCAGGCCATCGACATCACTGACCTCCGTGGTTGGGAAGGAAGGCAACCGATCGTTGGCGATCTCAGTAAGCAGATGGAGAATCCGATGGTGCGGATTGTCATGTGACAGCTCGATGGTAAGCTCCTTTTCAGTGCCAAAGTTGACAGTCGCAGAGTATGGCGATGGACCATACTGGAACTGTACGCGCTGTAAGGAGGAAGACGAAAGCCGCATTTGACGCTTCTGAAGGGTACTGGCAAAGGTACGAAGACGGTTAACATCTCGCAGTCGTGCTCGCAGCTCTCCTAGGATATCTTGCCCAAAGGGCGTGGCAAGGAGAATCCTGAAGTTGCCGTCTTCTGAGAACTTGAAGGCGGTCTGTGGTGAAGCTGCCATGAGCTTATGCATGTCTGCAGCAACAGACTTGACCATTTTACCGACAGCCATATGCCAGACGTCCTGAACCCCAACTTTCAAGCCTTCACATGTAATCTTGATGTCTGATTCAAGCCATGAGTCTTCGTCTGCTTGGGGCACAAGAAGATCCGGAGTTTGCACATGCAGCACCCATCGACGGGGAACACAGCCAGCTTCCACGAATGAGCCTGCTTGCCCTAACTCAGGTCGCAAACTGAAATTCTTCTTCTCCTTTTCTAGTTGGCGAGCTGTGACGCGGAACGACAGAAGCTGCACAGCGACCCTCTCCAGACTTGCCAAGGTGTTGCGGTTGATGGGCAAGGAGCTTCCATCAGGTCTGTCCAACTTGATCTGCTCGGCGTATTCGAGGCTATTTCCACCAGATCCGATTTCAAAGATCCACCACGATTCGCCTGAAGAGTCGATTACCGCTGCCAATGCCCAGTTTGGTGTCCAGCCGCGAGGGCAATATAGCGTGGAAGAGATGACATCCAATTTGACAGCAGCCGACACTACCTGCTGCTTCAAAGCCTGTCTTGCGACCGATTGCCACCCGAGTTGTTGTGCGTTCTTCTGGATCAGACTGAGCAATGTGCCGGCTAGCACTTGCGTCATTACATGAGCAATCTGTGATGGCTCTCTGCCTTGGTTGAAAGCATTCTCGGCTCGCGCTGATAGTGCGCTAGCTGGTCGCAGAATGTAGTTACCGGTGACCGACTCTAGTGATAGGGCAATTGATGTAGATTTCGTACCCAGCGATGCGTTGAGTGTAGAGTCGGCAGGTTCGGTCTCGGAAAGATGTGCGTTCGCCGTCACTCCAGACTTGAAACTCTCCTTTGTGGATCGCAAGATATCACTCGTGTGGCGTGCGATGACTTGCTTGATAACGCGTTCCATGGAGAGATCCTTCCAGTCAAAATGGAACTTGACATCTTTCACTTCTTTGCCTTGGCGGAACCAGCGCGTAGTCAGCGACGGTATGGGAGGCCCTCTCCACGAAACCTTGCCGTTCTTTGGTTTGTTGTTCGATACGCCAATCTCAATCCAATTCTTTTTTCCAGGCTTATCAGTCCAATAAGACACGACGAGCAAGCGATGCACAGGCTCGACCTTGAGAGACCCTGCCCAGCCGCTGCGAACGAGATTAACGGCCTGCGATCGAAGCACTGAGATCTTGTGCGTTAGGACGAAGTTGTTCAGGAAGTCGAAAAGGCCGGTCAGTCCCTTCTCCTTTAGAACTACGTCGGCCTGCAGCTTGAGTTGCATGAAGAAACGGCTACCGACGGTAATGGTAGGTGCAGGAGTGAACAACAACCGGAGATCGATGAGAAACCACTGTTCTGAAGCATCCTCTACAAAAGACATGACGTCGAATTCCAGCTCATTAGCAACAACAAAAGTTGCGCGTCCTGAGTGCACACGCCAGTCTTGGAGGTGTCGTGGGAGGCTTTCGTGTACGTTGAGGCGTATGGAGAGAGAGGTGTTCATGTACCGAAGGAGTTTGAGGGCCTGCTCGGCAGAGATAGGCTCAGGCGGTATGTAGCCCAGGCTCGGCATCCATGACGCTTTCCCTGTCGATAGCACTTCCAGGGCGGTCGCAACGTCCGGGTTGTTTTCTCTGGCATTGTTGGACAGAATCTTAATCTTTTCCAGTTTGTAGTCAGCAGCATCCATATGGGCTGCCTGTGTACTCGCGTGGGCCAGCAAATCAATGAGCTTTGATATGTCAACGGAAGCTTTCTTTCCCCACTCGGTGAGGACTAGCAGCTTGATGAATTTAGCCCGTTGCTCCTGCGCGAATTGAAGCACAACCAGCTTTTTACGCTTGTTCGCCTCTGCATTCACTTGTGCATTCGCCGCGCCAAGGCCGTTGGGAAGAGCGCCGTTGGACACTGGCGCTATCTGAATGGCGGCCATGTTCTTCAAGACTTCCTCCAACTCATTGTAAGATTCCTGGGATATCCGCAACAAAAGTGTCGACAAGGACATGTACTGCTCGGGGCCAATATGAGCGATCTCCGGGGGCAGATCCGAGTATTGTTCCAGCGTGGGACCGGCCGTTGCTGTGACTGCCATGGATGCGCCGTTGGTGCTGGTTTCGCGCGAAGAACCCCCATTAACAGCAGGTCCCCCTGCCGGCGTGTCACTTCGCGCACCATTGAGTCCGCCATTGGTCAGATCCCCGTTGTGGCTGCGCTTCCTGTTTTCTGCATCTCGTGAAGCCGTCGCTGAGTCGGACCCGGTGTGGTTCATGGTGAGAATTCCTGGCATACTACGTCGTCCTCCGTCCCGCAGCCTGGGGCGCCGTCTGCGCACCCGTTTTGCGCGCGTCTGTAACTTTCTTGAAGTGTGTGGTCGCGCTTCTTCCTTGATGTTTTCGCGAGAATGTCAACCGCGCGGTGTTTGAATCGTGATCGAGGCTGCGTGCAGAGGGCTGGCGGTGGAGTCGGCGGTGAAATGCGCAGGTTAGGAGTGAGGCGCGCTCATTAAAGCAGATGCTTTGGTGTAAGAATGGAAGCGCCGAGATAGCACGAGGCGCAGTGAGTGTTGAAAGGGCGCTGGTCGAATGCAGCAGGTGAAAGAAAGCGAGGTCGGGGCGCTGGCGACTAGCGCATCGTCGACTGTGAATGCTGCAAAACGGCGTGATGGCAGTCGCGGTCGTAGAGCGGTGGGAATTAGTCCGGAGTGACCGTGGATGGGGTGCGCGCGACGTGGGCGGGTGGAGTGGTTGCAGCGATGAGGTCGTTGAAACATCAGCAGCCTCTCGTACCGACGACGGGAGGGAGGGCGTGGATTGGGTTTAGCGCCTTGGCATTCGCTCCACCCATGCATGCTGATGATGGAGCCCTGCATCTCCAGCCAGACACATTGAGGTCGCATCAGCAACCGAGTCAAGCTTGAGGGCCCAGCTTGCTCTATAATGTGCGTCAACGACACTGCATATCTCGTCGCGCGGATGCGATATAGCTAGCCACTTTAATCGCTAGTACGTTCAGTCATTCACCGCATTGCTGTCCGCGGCTCGGCGAGCTTGCGGCTGCGGCGGCCAGTAGTCTATCTAGATGCGAGCTTGAGCGCAAGCGCCTTGTCCAATGTCTTTCTCGGATAAGCCTCTACTGCAAGTAGACGCTTTATCAGATGTTCACAGGTCATGCCCATGGGATCATCCGCTGCCACCCCAACAACTCCACATCTCTCCCCAGCTTGGGCCTGACCTCAGCGTGCCCACTAGAAGTTGCCCTCCGACCTGAATAGCAGCCCGGTCAGCTGTCGCATTTATCCCTCGATCCTTCATCATGTCTCAGTTGCGGTGACGCATTTCCGTTGATTAGCGCAGGACCCTGTTTTGCGGACAACTGCTTCCAATCGCTCGATGTCACCTCGCGCGCCCGAGCTCCCGCCCTATGAGCGCCCGACCATTGCGCGCAATGCATCCTCACAGTCCAAAGTCTCGGTGCCATCCATATCGCAGTCCAACGAGGCAGACGATGAGCAGAGCCTCTCTTCCGACCAGAGCCTCGACATGGAGTCCCACGACTCGCAGCCCCACTACGAGGGCGAAGACACCCGGTTGACCAGCGACAAGGAGCTCCGCGGCTTTTACATGTATGGATGGGCTGCCGAGGTACTTCATCCCTTCCTTCCTTCCTACTACCATCCCGTTTTGCTTCAGGCCTTTGCAAGCTTGCTGCAATATCGCAAAGCTGTGCGCGTGTCTCTCTCGTGATGCTACTTCGGACGCGCCTCGTCAAGCTTATAACCCACGCGAGCACCGACACTAACCACCGCAGGTCTTTGTCGTTTGCGGTATTGGGTCTTTCATACCTGTAACGCTCGAGCAACTCGCGCGCGAGAATGGCGTTTTATTATCCGATCCCTCCACACCGTGCAAAGCCACGAAGCCTACCGTCCATCCAGGCCCATCATTCTCCACCAACGCCATAGAAGCTCTGTTCAAACCGAATCCTGAAAAGGGACAATGCGTCGTTCATATCCTCGGTATCGAGATCAATACTGCGAGCTTCGCCATGTACACTTTCAGCATATCGGTCCTCATACAAGCTCTGCTGATCATTAGCATGAGCGGCGCAGCGGATCATGGGAGGTTCAGGAAGACCTTCCTCTTGTGGTTCGCATTTATTGGAAGCATCGCGACCATGCTTTTCCTACCAGTGGTGCCCAAGGTGTATCTGCTAGGCGCAGTGCTGGCAATCATTTCAAACACATGTTTTGGTGCCAGTTTCGTACTGTTGAACAGCTTCCTACCGCTAATGGTGCGCTTCCACCCTACAGTCAAGTACGCCGACTCAATCGCCGACGAATCGTACGCAGACGAGGAAGACGAGGCGGAGACAGAAGAAGACGACGAGAGAGGAGGTGAAACTCCGACGCAGGAGAATATCATACGAGGAGCGCAATACGCAAACCAGCTTGGACAAAGAGAAGGCCTTCTTGACGAAGTCGCTGATGCGACAACCGCACTGTTGCCGAGTAACCTTTCAACCGCCGATCTGACAATTCCGAGGGCAAGAAGCAGGTCCGCTCCTTCAGTGGAACTCGCTCTTGCAACCAAGATCTCATCCTACGGTATCGCGATCGGTTACATTGCTGCTTTGCTTGTGCAAACTATCGGTATCCTCATCGTCATCGCGTTCCAATCCTCCAACTTTGGCCTCCGCCTGGTCCTCTTCGTCATCGGCGCGTGGTGGTTTGTCTTCACACTACCAACAGCGCGCTGGCTGCGTCCCCGTCCAGGACCGCCTCTGCATATCGGTGCGCAAACCTCCAACTTTGGCACTGCCCTCGCGTACTTTGCATACTCGTGGAAATCCCTCGGCCGTACAGCGACCCACGCGCGACATCTCAAGGATGTACTACTCTTCCTCGCAGCGTGGTTCCTACTTTCAGACAGCATTGCCACTGTATCCGGTACAGCAGTGCTCTTCGCAAAGACAACTCTGGGCATGTCATACGCCATGCTCGCCCTAATAAACGTCATCGCAACGGTCTTCGGCGTTCTGGGCGCCTTTCTGTGGTCACGGCTATCTGCTTTCTTCCGCTTGTCGCCAACACAAACAATCTTACTCTGCATCATGCTCTTTGAAGTAATTCCAATCTATGGTCTTCTAGGGTACATACCAGCAGTCCAACGATTAGGATACCTGGGTTTACAGCAGCAATGGGAGATGTATCCTCTAGGTGCAGTCTACGGCTTCGTCCTTGGTGGTCTCAGCAGTTACTGTCGTGCGCTGTTCGGCGAGCTCATTCCTCCTGGCTATGAAGCCGCCTTCTACGCTCTATACGCCATTACGGATAAAGGCAGCAGTGTCTTCGGTCCTGCTATCGTAGGCGCCATCACCGATGCTTATGGCGAGATTAGACCGGTAAGTCGGCTCAACACTTCTGAACTTCATCTCTCATACTAATCTCAACTACAGGCTTTCTGGTTCCTAGCTATCTTAGTCGGTCTTCCCTTCCCCATCATGATGCTCGTCAACGTAGACCGCGGCCGCACCGAAGGCGCCGCCCTCGCGAAAACCCTCGAAGAACTAGCGCGTGCTCAGGATCCCAGCCACATCGACGCCGATGATAATTTGTCGCAGGAGATCAGAGATGACCTCCGTAGCTCGTTTTCCTATCAGCGCTCTTGAGTTTTCGAATCACCTGGATCATGATGCCGTTTGCGTTCTGTCACGTTGCATTGGGATGTTGTTTGCGCAGTCTTGGTAGCTCTGTAGGCTCGCCAGCTGGCCTGGCAGGCTATGTTTCGGGCTTCATGTATTGGTGTCTGCACTGCATTGTAAAGGCGCTTGTTTGCCGTTGGGATCTAACCTCTCATCTCTTGTTCGGTTTTTGGTTCGCATCATTGCGGGTTTGCCAGAGTGGCGTTGGAGGCGTTTTAGCTACGTTCAAAGCACGATTTGAATGATAAATACGCAAGTTTGATACACTTTTGTCTGTCTTCAAGTAGTGCGTGTCTTGAGCCTGAACTATCTGACTTCACTACATCGTCCTGGTGTGCTCACATCTAACATCGTACAACATAGCCAGCACATGGTACCTAAGCATCGTTCACGCCACTCTGACAGCGCAGCAGACCCTCATCCATCGAGGTCGAACATCTCCCTCTGGTCCTCTCTCTCTTGCGGATCAGGAAAATTCTCCTTGATCTCTTTCCACATCTCCGTCACAATCTTCTGCCTCTTCTTTGCCACACGAATGCTCTTCTTCCATTCCTTCTCGATCGCTTCTCGCTCTGATGTCGTGACCTTGCAGAGTTAGCACAAACCTGCATAAATCACTCTGAGTACATTGAACCTACCTTCTTCGCCTTTCCCTTCTTCAGTCCATCAAGTCTAGATTCGATCTGCTCTTTCTCTGTCTCAAGAGTGGTAACATTGGCGACAAGATCTGCCGTGCTGAGCGTGGAGTTGAGACTGGACAAGGAGCCACGGAGATTCTTTGCGGCTGCGATAAGAGTAGTGGTTTGCGTGCGGAGATCGAGAATGGTTTCGTCGAGAGCGGCGAGTTGTTCAGTGGTGCATGCTTCGGCTGCATTCTACAAGTGGGTCAGATCTGAGCAGATGTTCGGTAAGAGAAAGGATTGGATCATACCTGTAAAGCGTGGTATACGATTTGCTTGCCTGAGATTGTCAACTGATGTGAATTGCAGATAGGCTCGACCAAGCTCACCAGCGGCACGCCCCTCAATTGCTTTCTGTTCGTGGAGATCTTTCAGAATCTTTGCCGCAGACGCTGCCCTGAATCAGTCGTTGTCGGATAAGAGTGATAGATCAATGAACCTTTTGTGACCTTGTTGTGTAGATTCGCCGAAACATCGATAGCCGAGTATGGGCGGTTTTGCTTGCCTGCGACCAGTCAGTCTTTGAGTATAGGGTGCAGTGCGATCGTTGAGCTCTCAGATGTGAGGTGAGGTGAGTGACTCACGTAGATACTCCAATACTAGATCTGCGGCCTCGTTGGCTGTGGCCTTCTCTTCTGTCTTCTTGCGGGGCGCCATTATCTGCTCTAGTAGCGATGATAGGGAAAATTGAATGAAGAAGAACAGCTTGCTAGGTGTGATATGGGCTCTTGTTGAGGTGGCGCTAAGTCACGGGCACAATCCAGACGGAAGGAGCCATCCTCAACCCAGGCAGGTGGGGTGAGCATGCTACCTGCAGTTGAAGCCAACGACGCCGAGACAATTGCCATACAGATACTAATGTAGATACTTGATTCGTTATCGCAAGCGCAGTGCCAGCCCGTTAATTAGTACTTCAGCCTCCACGTTCACCAAACTGTGTAGCCCAATCCTCAAATTCCTTCAGTCCTTGCTTGCTTACAGACGGTCTGATAGTCTGCAGACTAGCTACAAAGTCCTGATATTGTATCGGTCGTATTTGGTCCATCGTCATTGAAAGTAACTTCTCGCCCAGTGAGCGCAAAGGGCCCATTGCAGCGTCTTTCGCGAGCGCCGTTATATCAGAACCAGAGAAACCTAGAAAGAAATTAGTGTTGCGATTCAGGTCCTCAATGATCATCACATACCCTCAGTGAGCTTGACCAGACGATCCAGATCGCGGTCACTCAACTCATGTTTCTGGTGGCTCAATAGCGTCTGGACTTGTTGCTTCCGGACCCAATCTTCGGGCAGTGGGATATATTGCCTTCTCACAAACCTTCGTCTTGCTGCTTCATCGATCGCCCACGGCAGGTTTGTTGCTGCGAGGACGAGAACCCTAGTTGCATCGCCCCTCTCTTTGTCCTTGTCCGTGACCGCGCTCCCGGCAGCTGCCTTTTGCAGATCGGACCACTGAATAAGGAACTCAGTTTTGATGCGTCGCGATGCTTCGTGCTCGCCGGATCCCGAACGCGACGAGAGGAGTGAGTCGATCTCGTCGACGAAGATGATTGATGGCGCCAGCATCTTTGCAAGCTGGAAAAGGGCGCGAACAAGCTTTTCTGACTCGCCCAGAAACTTCGACGTCAGACTACTAGCTGATATGGCGAAGAAAGTAGACTTTGACTCTGTAGCAACTGCCCTGGCCAACATCGTCTTTCCAGTTCCAGGGGGTCCAAACAAGAGCATGCCGCGTGCAGGTTCTCGCAGACCCATAAACAAGTCAGGCCTCAAGAACGGGTACACTACCGTCTCTTTCAGGGCGGATTTCGCAACTTCAAGTCCTGATACGTCGCTCCAGTGTACCTCATCTCCCTGTATCACGATCTCGTTTAATATCTGCTGTGCTGCTTGCTTATCGACGCCCCGTGGCAAATTCTTCATGATCTCATCCGTTTTGCGCTTCCATTCATCCGTCTCTTCTGGCTCCAGTTCCGCCTCAGAACTATCCGCACCTGGGGTATCTGGTAGTTCTGCACGCATCGAATTGCCTCTAGCCCTGCCCTTCCGCACTGGAGGTGGCCTCTGCTTGAGCAAATCTCCGTCCTCTTCCAGTGATACAGACTCAGGTGAGTCCTCCTGCTCTGAACTGCTTCGCGCTTGTGTGTCGTTGCTCTTGGGTTTCGGTACAAGTCTCCTTGTCGTCGGATCCCATATCACTCCACCGCGCTCGCCCCCAGTGTCGCCGTACGAATGGGCTGCAGCAGACGCGGCAAGAGATCGAGGGTCCGGTGTGGGCTTGGGATACTCCTTTCGGTAAGATGGTAATGGTGTACTGGGCCCTTGCGCGTTGTTCAGTCGACTCAAACCCACAGACTTTCGGGGTATTGCTGGCGCTGTTCGCTCGTTTGTAGCAGGTTTGACCGGCCCCGGATCAGTCTCACCACCAAGTGGTGGAACCGCATATGCGGTTGATGCTGACCCCTCGCCAGCTCTAAAGTAGAACGGTGCTTGTGCAGGCGGCGGTTGTGCTTCGGGTTTCGGAAAATAAGCACTCGGTCTCTCAGCAGCCGGCTTGTCGAGGGATGAGCGGGCGGAGGGTGTAAGAGAACTGGTCGATGGGTTCGGGGCCCCTAATGTTGGCCGAGTGGAGGATGCTGTGGCTTTGACACTCCACGCTTGGGTAGCTGCCTTTGAAGCATCCGGGCGACTTCTCAACGTATTGGGCAACTTCGCCGAAGATGGCTTGCTCTCTCTCCCGGGTCTCAGTGTCCGTAGCATTCTGCCACTCTTCTCCGGGGATGGGGTACGTGTCTTTTTATCTCCTACTGGTCCTGGGGATAGCGTCGATGCGCTCCGAGTCTGGGTCAAGCTGTTGTCCCGTATGGAGCCAGTACCGGAGCTCTTCCGTGGCGCCATCGCCGGACGGTATGGCAATGCTGGCGGTCTTGAGAGATCTGTGTACTCTATGGGTGGTATAGATCCGGCTCCGAGCCATGATGTAGATGCGCTTGGATCGTTTTGCGATAGGGGCACGCCGTGGGGTGGTGGTGTGGGTGCATCGTTGTCTGACGAGAGCGAGGCAAGGCTCTCTTTCGACTCCTTGCGACTCTTTTTCAGCGCCTCTAATAGATCCACGCGCTCTTTACACTGCAGCTCCAACTGGCGTAGCGATTCGATCAGTGCTCTCTCTGTTTCGGACGCGGGGCGGTAGGTCGAGGGGTTGCGACGGGCGTTGTGGTAGTAGATGTGGTCAAGGGCGGTTTTCCATGATCGCAGCGCTTCTTTCTCGTTGTTCTATATGTCTCTCTGTCAGTGATGCTGGGCACATGCGACACTTGGGGGGTGGTTGGGCACTGACCTGGCCCTCAAAGTAGACTGCAGTCGAGCAGGCTAGGAAAGCCTCGTCGTAGGCTTTCTGCGTCGTGTTGGCGCGCATAGCGGAAAACATGTATATGATGCGCCCAATTCACGCGGGGGGTGGCGTGGAGGACAGAATAGGTGTCTCGCGTCCAGTCTCGGGCTCGTGTTTGTAGATTCGTCGCCGGTCTTAGTTCGCGCGGGTGTGTGACGTAGGTAGCTGCGTTTCGCAACCGCGAGGGCTGAGCAGCGACGACCATGGAAGACGACTTTGTCCTCACGCATCCATGCATCCTCTACGCAACTGGGCACGCTCTCTCTCGCGCTATTACATCAGATCACAAGGTAATACTGTCAACCCAAGATACGCGTGCTCACACAGCCACGAGGAAGGCGCATGTGCAAGTGGGGCTGCTATTCGCGCCCGGCTGTTATCGATTACGCACCTTGTTTGGGCTGAAGAGCGAAAATGTTCTTGGGTCTTGAGTGACGCCGACACTGAATTTGCTATATGATACAAGAATGCGCATGCCGTCGTGTGCTCGCATAACCAAGCATCCAGTACGCCGCCAGATCGGCTTCCACAAAAGCCTCTATGACTATACAATGGCAGTGAAGAAGCGTCGCGACGCAGCCCTATGCTCCTCCAGCGCGCCACACAATGCTAGACCTTGCCTTGGATGCCCAATACTGCCATGGTCGCTACTCTCCGCGACACTGCGTGTATATCGTTCCGTGGGTAGTGCGCATATCGCGGAATCAGAGGGCTCTCGTAATGGTTCAAAAGAAGATCAGTCAAATAGTCGTCTCTCTGTTATATGGCCGTTGATGAGTTGGTGCTCCTCCGAATGAAGAAAGCCTTGGCCATCTCGTATGCGGACCTATGCAGTGTCAGATCAATACCGGTTGCGGTGTCCAAGCTCAAAACTTACCAGCAAATTGCCGTGCTTGGCATGGTGGTGATGATTCGGGGTTTCAGACCACGGAAGTATCCCCTGTATCCTTCCCTTTGATGGATAATTTTGGCTGCCTGGATTAGGCCGGAGACGTTCTTCAATTCTGCGTCTCGAGCATTGCCGCGTGTTTGTAATAGCGTCTTGATGACATCGAGGGGAGTTGTGAGCCCCGCTGCAAATCCTCCGGCGATACCTCCGGCGAAGCAGTGCGTATAGGGGTCGTAGCGGCCGGTCGGGTTCATGACCTTGGACATCGATTCGTAGGCCATGAATTGGAGTGCGGTAAATGGCACCGTCATACACAGTGTAGTGGGGTATGAGACGTAGAATGCGCCCACGCCCTCAGTGCGGAGAACCTCTCGGGCGCATTGGGGGACGGACTTGTAGATGGAACCGTGCATTTGCATGCGTTGTTTTATGACTGCGAGATTCAGTAGGCGCGGAGCGAGGTCGTGGTGCGCGTCTTACCGTCAAAGGGATTCATCAGCGCATCGCTGGAGATGGTGGCCGCGGCACCGCTAGCAGCTGTTGGTGGTCAGTAGCTGCTCCCGCATTGGTGTGGTCGTGGTATTGCGCACCTGCCGCGAGGGGATGATGCTCGTGGCTCTCTCCCTCATTGCCGCCGAGGGCGTGCTTTGTAGCTTCATAGGATGCAAAATAGACGGCATGCGCGGGACCTGCATTCTGTCAGTTCTCCTTGCCGGTCTTGCTCGCCTGAAACAACCCACCTGCGCCCATTACCACGCTCGAAAGTCCCCTCCACAGTGACCAGAAGCCCTCCGCCCTAGATATAGTGACCATGGCGTTCGAGATACCGCTGTACATGGCGCTCGGCGACGGGTTGACGATCTGCATGCGGGTCTGTCCGGAGTCAGCGCGCTGTCGGCAGTGCATGGAGAGCTTGGTGGGAAGCTGCGTACCTTGAGCAAGTCGACGGGGTACATCACCGAGTGTTCCTATCATCGGGTCAGTCGGGATATATACACGGCGGCGACCTCGGAGACGTACCGCAACACCTGCGAATGCGCCCGCAAGCATGTTGGCGGTGAGGGAGAAGTTGGGCGGGAGCGCTTCATAACTGGCGCGCAAGTCAGCGACGGGTGTCTCTCATGTGCGGCGGTGCAATGGAGCTGTACTCGTGTTCTTCTTCGATAGGAACTGATGGCCGATCATTGGGGGCCATAAGTCGGCCGGCTACTGGCGCCGCGGATTCCAGGTTTGCGACTTGAGAGGGTTTTTGTTTTTGGGGTGGACGTAGAGCCTCCGCGCGTCGATGCAGAGGGGCGACTGGGGTGAGTGGGCAATTGTCTGAAATTGAAGTTGTTACTTTTGTTTGCAACTAACGGAAGCGCGAGATGACTTCAGCCGAACGCCGAGACGTCAGACCTAAATTCCGCCCGCGACTAGGTACTCTCGCTGAGTCGCTGCTATCTGCCCTTTACGTACCCATGCCTCCACCAGCGATGCCGGAGCTTCCATGGCAAACCTGCGCATGCGCATGCCACTTCGTCTGCCAGCGAAGTTTTCATCCTGAGGCTGTTTGCCATGGCGGACGGCGCATTTTCGCGACGCCCTACCCAAATGCCCCGTAAATCGGTGACAGGTGCCCGCGGAGATCAAGTACATCATCAACGCGATAGCTAGACTCGGCCAAGGTGCCTCGGATGTGGGAGGGGGAAGGTGCTTGGTATATCTTATCTGATCATCTCCGCCCGCACCTCGAGCCCGCCACACACGTCTGGTCCGCTGCCACTCGTCTACACGTTGTTCGCAAAGCTTGAATTTGCTCACGATACCCCGCAAAGTCGGCAAGTCTCGATTAGCGCATCCAGACTCGCATGCTGAATAATGTCCGATCTTGGGATGGTTTGCACAGTGCATGCCCGAGCTTCACCTGCAAAGCTCGCTAGGTGCACTGAGCACAGTGTTTGATAACAAATGGACAACCAGCGAACTTTCGTCTCCACTCCGCCTCGCAAGCTGAATAATAGGGCAAGTCTACACACGGAAGTTTGGACACCCGGAGCTATTTCTCGTAGATAGCTCACGGTGCCTTGGTCCGAGGCTATCCCATGCAGATTCGAGCAGAATGAGCAGCTATCGTACAGCCGGCAGCTGATCGTACAAGTACAATGAACGCGCGGTCTTCATGTGCTGCAACAAGCAATGCTATCCAGCCCCTCTGCCATGCCACGTTACGAGATGCCACGTCCGTGACCAGCTGGCGATGCCGTGATCCGGGATACCGGAGGTCCTTATATCTTGTTTGCGCATCAACACTCGCACCGCTTGTACCACCGGGGAAAGCTGACTACGTCCCTGATGTTAGATACACCAGCGAGGTAGCACAGGAGTCGATCGAACCCTAGACCAAAGCCTCCATGCGGTACACTGCCGTATCGGCGGAGATCCACATACCACTGCAGGGAGCCGTCTGATGCGTAGGTAGTGCTATCCGGCGCTTGTTGAAGACCATGTTCGTCCATGGATTGCAAGAGTTCTGCTAGTCGATGTTCACGCATAGAGCCCCCGACCAGTTCACAGATCTCAGGTACAAGGAGATCGAAGCATGCGACGGTCGAGGTGGCCGGGTTGTCAGCTGTCGGGTCATTTGACGGCGCCATGTAAAAAGGCTTGATGTTACGTGGGTAATCAGTGATGAATACGGGTCCACCGCGTCCCAAGCTCTCAGCCAAGAATCGTTCGTGCTCGGTCTGGAGACCATCTTCATGACCAGGTGCATACTCAAAATCCGCCTTGCCCTGAGCCACTGCGTCTTTAAGGTGCTGTATTGCGGCCGCATAGGTGGTTCGAGGCCATGGCCCCGCTACCAGCCCTTGCCACCGTTGTGCGAGGACAGTGTGCGACACGGATGTGCTCTCTTGGTCCTGGTCTCGTGCTCGTGCCTCAAGAAGTTCTTGACCTACAACCGACTCTTGTAATTTCAACGCAACGGAACGCAGCATATTTTCCACAACATCCATGACGACATTCACATCCTCTGTGAAAGCTAATTCTGCTTCCAGCATGTAGAACTCGCTAAGATGACGGGCTGTATCACTCTTCTCGGCTCGGAATGTTGGAGACAAGGCCCAGACCTTGTTTACTGACTGAGCTAAAGCCTCTAGGTGAAGCTGACTGGAGACCGTCAGATACTTGGGGGAACCGAAAAACATGTCTTCTTGCTTTTTGACCTGATTCGAAGAGCTTTTGTCTGCTGAAGAAGGTGCTCCAGGCGCCACAGTGAACACCTCTCCTGCGCCCTCGCAATCGGAGGAGGTGATGATTGGTGGATGGCACTGAATGAAGTCATGTTCCGCAAAGTAGTTGGTCACTTGTGCAGTGACTAGCGATCTCAGCCGCAAGAGAAGCGAGTTAATTGGTAGTCGACTTCGGAGATGTGGGAGTGTGCGCAAAAATTCGGGCGTTTGGTATTTCTTCTGGATTGGGTAGGTCTGGAATTAAGATTCAGATCAGACATCGGGCAGGACTCCGAGGCTCACTCATGTTGACTTACTGTGGCATCATTCTCTCCCAATATTCGCACGTGGTTGACTTGAAGTTCATGGGATTGGCCTTGGCCTGGTGAGGGTGTCCACTTTCCCGTGACTGTCACTGCAGTGCCCGTGGAGAGTCTGATAGTACAGCATGTCAGTACTTACAGAGTGTTCTAAAGGGAGCTACTGACCCTTCTGCTAGTTGAGGAGGCAGGACGGCCTGGACTGTTTGCAAAGTCGAGCCGTCGCCTATAGCAGCGAATGCGATGCGTTTTTGCTTGCGCACCGTCCGTACATAGCCGTTTATCGTTAGTGCCTCGTTGTCCTGTGCACTCTGCTGAGACGAACTGGCCGATTGAGTTGGCCTTAGCAGCTCAGCAATAGTGTTTGGACAGAAGGTGGAACTGCAGCGGGGACGGCATAGTGATAGTGCATGTGCGCAAGGTAGAGCGGTTCCCCGGTTTCGGAATAGGTGCTGGGGACGGACAACGCTCCTCCGAACAGGCAGGAGCCAATTCATTTACGCGTCGGCAAATTTCGATCGGCCAGGAGCTGCGCAGTGTAGCGTAGAAACAGCACTCTCTATCACACGTGCGGGTTGATGTCTGCGAAACCTTGGGAAAAAA